CTGCCTAATTAAAATGATAAGAAGAGCAGTTGAGATTTATTTCTTTTGATCCTTCTCACATAGATTTTAATGGTATTTGTTTTGAAAAATATAATTTTGTTTCTTTTTATCTGACTATAGAACACAAGTGGTAGAGGAGGAAAGCATCTTAAAATTACATGATTATGGGGGCAGCTAGGGGGCTCAGCAGATAGAGCACTGGCCCTGAAGTCAGGAGGACCTGAGTTCAAATCTGACCTCAGACCAAACACTTGACACTTACTAGCTGTGTGACCCTGGGCAAGTCACTTAACCCCAATTGCCTGAAACTTAAAAAAAAATTTTTTTAATTACATGATTATGTTATGAGTGAGGCAAAGACTCAAGGTGTCCTATATGTAAAACTGTCAAGTATTCAACATTTGGGCAACTATATATAGTCAGGGAGAGGGAGGTCTCAGTTTGATGAGTTGCCCCCCAATCAACTTGAGAAGATTATAGGAGTGGACCTTTGTTGGAAGGGGCATTGGGCCCTAGTGCCTTACTAAGAAGATGTAGGGTGTTCCTTCTGCTGCTGGATCATCCTGGATCATCACTTCCCCCAGTGCTTGGTGCCTCTTTGCCCTAGAATAGCCTACTAACCCTGTGGCCTACTCATCCTGCACGTCCCCATTCTTCCCCTATTGATGAGTTCCCCTGGAGCCACCATTTTGTGAGGGACTGAGACTGGCCTGCCCTCATTTCCCTCCTGTCCCTCTTCCTAACTTTCTCTGGACTTCAAAACCAAGTTATATACAAGTTTAAGTAAAAGGTAGTCTTAGAGGTAAGGAGCCAGAAGGAGGGATAAGCAGGAAAGGCCTTCTGAAGCAGGTGAGATTCCACTAGTAATAATAGTTCACATTTCTGTAATGTTTTATAGTCTACAAAATGTTCAACTCCATGGGACAGGCAGAGAATGTATTATTTCCATTTTGCAAAAAAGGAAACTGAATCTTAGAGAATTTAAATGACTTGCATATGGTTCTGTGGCTATTAAGAAGCAAAACTGATACTCTAAGGCTCTTTCCACCCTCGCACGCTGTATCAGAATGATATGTTGGTTCTCTGTTTATTAGGAAGTCAAGTTCCAAAGAATAAGGGCTGAGATTTGGATACTTTTTTTCAGAAGACAATAAATTGTGAATTTTTAATAATTATTAAACTTCTATTTATGATATTCCCATAATCCTTTTTAGATGATACTACATAAAGTTTGTTGTTGTTGTTGTTTTTGCTCATAACACAAGGGTCTATTTTTAGATCTAGTCCTGTGATTTCCTCTGTGTTGGTTAATTCCGAATGAAGAAACTCCCTCTATCAATCCAGATCAATACCTACCTATTTTGTAATTTATAGTCTCAAGTAGTTACCTGGGGACACTGAGTCATAAAGTGATTTGCTCAGGGTCACATAGTCACTACGTGTGAGAGGCAGTACTAGACTACAACCCTCTCCCCGGCTATAACACACTGTCTGCTGCCTCTCCTAAGCAAGGTTTAATACTGTTTGTTAATGTCATGTTTTCACTGGTGGAGACCTAGCGTACAATAGATCCAGCCACTGGGGTGCTGGTAAATGTTTAATGACAGGCTGTCCAGGAAAAGAAAAAGGTGCACAGGATACACTTTTCAGTTGAATCTCCATTACTTTCTGAAGTCTAGACAATCCACAAAACAAAAACTCAAGTACTGATTTGTAGCATTTGCCGATTTCTGAGGTATAAATACACATACTAAAAATTTAACAGTTTTGAAGCTCGTTCCATCACTTCCCCGGACCCAGCCTAGTATGAGCACTAGTACTACCTCACTTATCCCAAGAAAGGAATTGGTGGGAAGAAGGTTGTCTATCTGGGGATAGAAAGGAACTAAAGAAGTTAAAGGCACAGGACACAGTGGCCTATGAACCTTAATGAACTCTGACCAGTCATTGACACTTTACTGGGAATTAAAACAAGTTCTGATAAACACTAGATCCCTTCATCATAGCAGTTTAATGAGATCCAGTACACTGAGGAAATGGGGGCTGTGCTGATGGAAGAAGAGTTACTTTCATTCAGAGGGATCATTAGCAGGCCCAGGTAGAATGCCATGGGGCTGACACATGAGGGCACTAATATGCGGAGCAGAAGAGAAGCACTTAAAGAGGTAGAGGAGATTACAAAAAAGGAGATGAGGAAGAAGAAAAGGAAAATAGTAATAACAAGAATAATTAGCATTTAGATATCATTTGAAGGTCTTCAAAACATTTAATGTAAGTTATTGCATTTGATTTCACTTTGAGAAAATTACACTACTTCCTAATTTTGCCAAAGTTTGACTCTGTTTGGAAAGGGACTCTAGTGAATTAGGCAGAGGGTCTGGTCAGTGAAGGGTGGATAGTGGAGGGAAGCCTTGGAAATTAGAGAAATGCATAGGAAAGACTAATTTGAAAGGCTCTGCCCCATTTTTAAAGTTCTAGAAAAGAGAAAAATGATGGGTCATTATCATTATACATATATCATCAACAAGTCACATTAATCCACAGAAATAGAACAAATTAACAATAATACACATTTCATATTTCCATCTGCCCTGTTACTGTGCCATAAGGGTAAGCAGGCCTTGCCATCTGCCCTGATCATGTACAGCATTACTATTGGGCCTTTCTATCTGCCCTATAAATGAACCCTCCATCCTCAGTTAGAATGTGGACTTGTTGAGAGCGGGGAGGGAATGTCTTGATTTTCTGTTTTCATCTAGTTGTATGTATAAAGCTCGGCATTTAGAAAAGCTGAATACATGCTTTTTCATGCGAGTATTAGCTTTCTCATGTTTCCTCTATCTGATTCCTCTAGCATAGCTTCATTTCTAATTATAATTCCCTACTCTTTATGAGTTTTCATAGTACTGCTTCTAACCCTGCCTGTGTGTTTGCTTAACACAGATGGGAGAAATGAGCAGGAAGCAACTGAGATAGAGAAAGGGATCGATCGCATTCTGTATTTAATATCAGCTCAGAGAAATAACACCTTTTTTTCCTGGGGTTCTGAGGGCAAAGGCTAGCCTATTTTGAGCTCCACAAATCACTGGAATTAGCTGGGATGACTGGAAACCCCTGGAATCACCCAGATTTCTCCATCTTTCCTCCCCTCTCAACTCTTACTCATCACAACAAACTTGAAGCAAACCTATTTTCAGCTAATGCTAATTAGGGCCTAACTGCTGAAATCTCGGTAGACTTTCACTTCTCAGTCAGGTTTTAGCTTCCTCAGTCTAACGTTATCACTGCAACCAGATGTTTGCTTTTTCAAGTATGTGTATCACACTTCCTCCATGCCCAGTCTTTTCTCAAAAGTTAACTGTTTCACAGAAGCCCTTACCCTACATTGCCTGAATGTATGGTTTGACTTTGTGTGCCTGAGCAATAGGATGTGAGCTTGGGGGAGAATTCTAATTCCAGCCAGTGCCCTGACTCATCTTTCTGAAGGGTGAGTCACTTTGCTTCAGTTATAACTTCTGTTAATGATGGACTTTGCTAGTGGTGAAGGCCAGAGCCCTGAACAGCAACCTAACATCTAACATCAGCTGTCAGATGGAGAAGGCTCACTGGTTTGCTCTAGCCTGGAACACTCTCCCTTCTCACCTTTTCTTCTTAGCTTCCCTGGCTTCCTTCAAGAAGGAAATCCTACCTTCTGCAGAGGGGATTTCCCAGTCATCCTTATTGTTAGTGCCTTCTGTCTCAAATTACCTTCCATCTACTCTGTACAGATCTTGTATGCATCCAATTATGTTGTCTCCTCCTTTAGAATATGGGCTCACTGAAATTAGGGACTGGTTTTTGCCTTTCTTTGTAGCCTCACTGCCTAACACAGTACCTGGCTATGTCCTATAGTTACCATGGACCAGGCTAAGGACCAAAGGTAGTATTCCAAAGAGATACATTAAAAAGGAGAAGATGGGGCACTGGATAAGAATACCAGCCCTGGATTCAAGAGGACCTGAGTTCAAATCCAGCCTCAGACACATAACACTTACTAGCTGTGTGACCCTGGGCAAGTCACTTGACCCCATTGCCTAGCCAAAGGGGGGAAAAAAAAGGAGAAGGCTTGGGACCTTCCATGGCCTAAGACTATACATTAATACCTTCTTTGGACATTAGGCCTGATATTCCACCCAGAAAGAATTATTCACAATTGCAAAGAACCTCCAAAAAGGGGAACCTAACAACAAAACCATTCCCAACAAATCAGTCTTGGTGTATATATAAACAATTAAATAAAGAGGAGAAGAGAAACTAGCCAAATAGCAATTGACGTACTGAGGCAAAAGGCAGTTTCAAAATATATACTGTTTTTTTCCTTTTTTTCCCCATTGATCTTTCCTTTCAAAGAAGAAATTCTGGTGGCAATATCTCCTACTTCTTCACTCTCTAGATTTTCGTCCTTAGATGGAATCAATTTCTTACTGCCATTTGCCCTCAGATTTTTAAAACCATCTGAGATAGGACCAAAAATATTATGAAGTGACCAAGCTTGATTGCTAGAGGGTCATCGCTAGAATCAGAGAGATCAGGATCCAGTCCCGCCTCCTACACATACTGGTTGTATAACATTGGTCAAACCATGTTATTTTCACAGTGCCCTACGCAACTAAGACTATAAATTACAGATAAGCTTGCTTATCTGTATCAGTGGAAGGAATTTCCATACTGGAAGTTCCCTACATTGATAAAAATCACATATCTGAACTCCCTCCCCTTAAAAAAAACAAATAAAAAGAAAAATCAATCAGATAGCAATCCCTTGACCACAGCAGCAGTGACTACATTATTTCATTTTCATTATCCATAATAATCATAGTTTTCCTAATTACCTATCTAAAAAAGCTAAAAAACAAAAACAAAACCTCAGAGTAAACCATTCAAATGAATTCATGATGATAAACACAATTAATGTTAGGCACATAACTGAAAATGAAAAACAAAACAACTTAGGTCTTTACCTTGGCAATGCTTTAGAGCATAGTTCTTTAAATCCCGATGGTCACCCTTTTGGAGGAAGCCCTTACAGCAGAAATAATCCTTGGTGGATATAGTTAAATCCTAAAGAAACCGCATGTCCATGAAACAATGAGTCTCATCTCAGGCAGCCTTTTGGTTGCCTGGCTCACTGACAGACTCTGTGGTCAGAGCTCTACCCAGCTATACCCAAGGAGCAAATTCAGGGCTGTAGTGGCCCAGGGACTCTTCCAGTTGAACTATTATGCTGAACCTTCCAGGCACAAAAAGTGGTTTCAGAAGTCACGTGGCTTGCACAACTAAAAGTACTTCTTAGTTTCACAGGAGGTTTAATGAACTAAAAATCCAACTAGCCCCTCTTCTCTTGAGAATGAGGTAGAAATGCCAGGTACTGTCATATTTTTTGCCCCAAACCAGTTTGTGTCAAGACAGCAAAAAATCCTCATGGGGCTTCAGCCTAGTGAGGTGGGAATTTCCTGAGCCTTTAATGGGATCACCTAGGACTAATCTCATCTCAGTTATTGGGGAACCTCAGTCCAGAATTATTGAGATTGATTCTATAGCTTGTTTTGATGTGCTCTGCTTAATTCTGTGGCAAAACTCTATGTAAAGGTCACCCAGATCAGAGAATGGTCAGTCTTTTTGACCCAACTAGTGAGGATGGCTGAAAAAGTCCTTTTACAGAGAGATATTTACTTTGAAGATATGGCAAGAGCAAAAGTGCAAACATTTCTCCCCTACCCCAACACTTCAGGGGCACAATCTGCTTTATGACACTTTGGTCTCTAGAGAGAGGAGGTTAAACAACAGTTTCTACCTAACATCGGTCCAATCCAATGCAACTTGCTGCCTAATGAACTTTTTCTCAGCTGCTGTTGAGATGGCTCTTGAAGGTTGCTTCTTGTTCCTTAGTGTTGGACAGGTTACAAAACCCAGCATGAGCTCCGCTCCCAAACCTTGGATACATTTAGGATCTCAACATCCTTGTAGTGAGGAAATTCTTTCTTACGCTTTAGGCATTATAGATTAAACTCATTTTGTCTAATTCAGTTCAGTTTAAATGAGCTCAATTCCATTCCATTTAAGGAGTTCACAATTCAACAGAGGAGATAACAAATTTTATTGTATCTTGTATTTTCATTAATATTAGTAACAGCATAGGTCCTTCTAGGACCTATTTTTGGATTTCCCCTTATACTTCTTTGATTTCCTTCAAAGCTCAGCTCAAGCATCACCTCCTACAGAAATGTTTGCTCATACTCCTTACTCTAAGCTACTAATGCCTCCCGTCCTCAGACTTGCTTTTATTCATTTTTATATAATCTACGCATACTTGTATAAAGACATGTTCTCTCCCTCATTAGAATACAAGCTTCTTGAAGGCAGGTGCTATTTCATTTTTGTCTGTGTAGCCTCACTGCCTAGCACAGTGCCTGCCACGTAGTATGCACTTAATAAACACTTGCTGATTGATTGATTGATATGCAGGAAAGGCTCTATATATAACAAATTATTATGTTAGAAAGGAAGAGACAGGAGTAAGCATTTATACAATATCCATTATGTGTCAGGTACTTTGTTGAGCTCTTTACAAATATTATTCCATTTGATCTTCACACCAACCCTGCAAGGTAGGTGCTATTATTATCCCCATTTTATAGTAGAGGAAACTGAAGGGAAAAAAAAGACTAAGTGACTTATCCAGGGCCACACAACTACTAAGTGCCTGAGGCCAGATTTGAATTTAGGTCTTCCTGGCTCTAGGTCCAGCATTCAATCTACTGTGCCACCTAGCAGCTTCTGAATACTGATGCAGTATGGCATCCGGCTTTATGTGCAATGTACATGAGGAAGACTGCAGCAACAAAGATACACAGGATCGTCAAGGTGGAAGGAAACTCAGGGCCCAAGGAGAAAATCTACAACACCCCTGGCACATTCAACCCCTCTGGCAAAGGGAACCATTTCTGCTGCAAGCACCCATTTCACTTTGGGACAACTCTGATTATCAGGAAACCCAAATTGAGGAACCAAGAGAGATCTTTATAAATAAGATTTTTCAAATTTGTGGAATCTACCTTCAAAAAATGAAATAACTCCCCTCCTAGTCACCACATCTCACTTCCCATTATGTCAGAAAATGTCTCTTAGGGTGGGAGTGGGGGATCCCCAGTGGGAAACTGGGGATTTTCCTAGGAGATAATGGAAGGTGGAACTAGGCCCAACTCCTTTATTTGTACGACCTCCTCCCTTTCTGTGCTCCTATCCTCTTGGCACCCACCACATCTCCATTGTTGCTCTATCTAGTGATGTATAACTACCCCTACAACCAAATGACCCACCAACAATTCTCTCTACCACCTGCAATTAGAATCACTCATTTTTAGACATGGAAGGGACCCTAGAGATCTAGCTTAACCCCCTCTTTTTATAGATGAGGAAACTGAGAAACAGGGAAGTTAAGTGATTGATAAATCACTCATAAGAATAAGCTCCTTGAGGGCAGGACTGTCTTTGTTTTGGTTTGTACAATTATCCCTTCCACATCCTAGGGGTTCAGAGCATGGTACCCCCACAATCTGTAAAATTTTTTTAGCCCTCCCTTCATACCAGAGATAAAGTCTGAATTTTTTTTTCTTTTTCTTTCATGGGGTCTTTACACTACCTTATCATAAGATTTGGGTTAAGTATTTGGTCATAGGCTATATTACACAATACTATATATGTATTTTATGTATTTCTGAGTTTCTAAACTTGCCCTGTGTTGTCTGCTGGCCTTCACATGTCATCTGGCTTCTGTAAAATTCTCATTTAATTTTTTATGCTGACCTGTGATATATCAAAACCATGATGGGGAAAATCTTGATGTGGAAGGGATAACTGTATTTGTGTCTATTTGTGTCCTCATCACTTAACATGGTGCCTAATACATAGTGGGCATTCAATAAATGCTTTCCTTCAAAGGAAACAAAGGTTCCTTCCTTCACAGAAGTGGAGACTAGAGCAAATTAAAAGATAGCCTCATGTAAAGAAAGAACTTAATATGGATCTGAACGTAGCAACTTGAATTCTAACATCCCATTTGGACTGGGATCATGGCTCCAAAAGCTGTGAAGCTTCAGTGTTCATTCAGACTTGAGAGATTAATACTTTTTTGCCGGCTGGGATTGAAAGAGAAGCTGGTTTAGAGAGAAAGCCTTTATACTCTAAGCTTGGACACCAGGACCATGAGTTTCAAGTAACTATGCTCCTTTCTCACTATGTTAAAGACACAGAAGATTTATGTAGGGTGTTGGCTAGTGCTCTCCTGAAAGCATAGTAGATGATAGCCATTGGTTCATGTTCCTTTGCTATTCAGCTTAATAAAATGCCTTTTGTTTTTGAATTCATGTGTTGTTTGGCATGGTGTGGCACAGAGATGTCTTGTTGGGGGCTCAAGGCCTGGTTTTAAATAGATGACGTCCAAAAGGAACTCTGAAGATGGATGCAGTAGCTAAGAAAGATTCTAAAGATAAGAAAATGTAAAATGATTGGTTCCATTGGGCCTGCATCCCAGAAAAATAGAGCACAAACATCGTGACATATCATAATTAACTGCTGGACCCAGGAGTTTAAGTCTTGTTGATGTAATCCAATTGCTTGAATTTTTTATTTGGAAAACTGTCCATTTTAAACAAAATTTTCCATGTGGGTAATTAGGATCCTGAAAATTCACAAAAGGAAAAGCTATCTCAAATATTTCATTCAAGAAGAATTTTATAGCTGTAGTTCATATACCACAAATTCTGAATTGGGGAAGGGGTATATCTCATCTTCCCCCCAGATCTGTGGTGTCAACAACAACTCCCAATGAGAAAAATTCTTCGATGCAAATAGACAACTTACAGTATCAAAGAACAGCTGAGAACTATTGTGAGGTTAAGTGACTAGAGCAGGGGTGGGAAACCTGTGAACTCGAGGCCACGTGTGGCCCTGTGGTTGGATTCCATAAAAGGGCCACATCTGAGGGCCTAGAGGGCCACACGTGGCCTCAAGGCCACAGGTTCCCCACCGCTGGACTAGAGGCCACAGACAGTATGCACCAGAGGCAATACTTGAACTGTTTTTATACATTATTACTAATACGAAACAGGCAAACTCAGATGATAAATTTTCTTTCCTCTTCATTCCTGTCCCTCTCTTCTTACTTAGTCTTCTCTCTTCCCTTCTCATTCTGACCTCCTTCTCCAATAGAACCTCTGTTTTCATTAAGTCTGTCAGTAAGCGTTGTATTGAATGCATACCATGAACTAGGCACTATTAAGTGCCTAGTTAAGTGAATGCAAAGAAAGGCAAATACAGTCCCTGACCTCAAGGAGCTTGCATTCTAAAAGGGGAGAGAACTTGCATCAGTATATTCATACAAGTTATATACAGAGTATTGGAAGGTAATTTGAGAGGGGTAGGTGCTAATAGCTGAAGGGACAAGGAAAGGTACGCTGAAGGAATGGGGCTGGAGATAAGTCTTAGAGAAAGCCAGAGAAGCTAAAAGATGGAGATGAGAGAGTAGGAAATTCTGGGCTTAAAGTACAGATACTTTTAGAGGACAAATACTTGTGTGATATGAAAAAAATTAAACCCAAACAGTAACAACTCAGTTTACTAGTTTTTCCTTTTCTATAAAGACATTTCTTTGGACAGTGCTTGATATGCAGTTTAAAACTCTGCCATGTGCATAGGATGCAGATTGAGGTTTTGGCAATTTACACATAAAACAACTGCTCAGAGATATAAACTCCTTATGATGGGGAACAGCAAGGATGGAGCACACCAACATTACAACATTGCTTCTAGAAAAAGGTCATCTTGGCCTTTTTTGTTGCTGGAATTTAAAAGAAAGAAAGAAATATCTTGGTGAATTTACAGAACAAAACAGAATCACAAAATTTAATAACAGAGACCAGAGTTAAATATCTGTTGTTTAACTGGCTTAGAGCCATTGCATTCCAACATTAAAAATGTGTTTGCTCACAATTAATGGCAATTGGGGCATGGGTGAGAGAATTGTAACTGTTCTAGTTGAACTTGCAGGGAAATTCTCTCTTTATCCTTTAATTGCTGCTACAATTCACTTTTCAATCTGGCTGAAACTATATTGGTTTTCTTATTGTGTCTAATTCATGCTTGAACAGTTTTCTTAACCTCACTAGAAAGCTTCATCTTCTCCTGACCATTAATCATCAGCTGTTCCTGATGTCAATGATTG